CTTTCTTTCTTTCTTTCTTTCTTTCTTTCTTTCTTTCTTTCTTTCTTTCTTTCTTTCTTTCTTTCTTTCTTTCTTTCGTCTGCCTGCCTTCCTTCCTTCCTTCCTTCCTTCCTTCCTTCCTTCCTTCCTTCCTTCCTTTCTTGAAGGAAAAATATATGTGTATACTGCATGTTAGCACAACTATGCCCTCTAGTGGCTATCAATGTCCTATTAAAAAATCAAACTGTTAAAAGTCATTTAATTTTTTTAACCAATTAACTGATTAGCCAACAAAGTATGAATATAGTATTATATGCTAAATTGTTTTGTGGGCTTTTAGTAATGCAAATGATTTCTTTTAACTATAAGACTTGCTTTGGAGAAATAATCTCAAATGCACTTCCCAATCAAGAAATGTGTATGGATACTGCCAAAATTGCTGAATGCTTTTCCCAAAGAGTAGATTAAGTTACAAATTGTAATAATAATGCATTATTTCTAGGCCACCCTTTTATAGAATGCTGGAAAGTGCCATATACCTGAGTGAGTCAAATTACGGCAAGCACATAAGATACGATTTTAGGGCTACACGCTTGGAGCCACGTCATCTGCGATGTGATCGTGAAAATGAGCTATTGCAACATGTACTGACATGCTACATGTAAAGTGAATCCTGATACTCACTGTTGCCGAATGCAATATGGGTGGAAGCAAACAAGAATGCAGTCAGTTCTTTATCATTTTTCATGTGTTCAGTACAAAATGTAATTTAAGGCTCTAGACTTCATGGCCTTACAGGAAATATAGGCACTGTAGGAGGAGAGCCAGGCTAGTGTAAGGTGGCAAAAAATCAGTAGTTTGGTAGCACCTTTTCTGACTAGCACATTTTATTAAAAGGTATAACCTTTCTTGAGGTGTAGCTCACTTCATCAGATGCCCAGAGTGGCTAGACTGATGTAGAATTCAAACTGAGGTGAGGTAGAGGAAAAAGGAGAAGAAGAGAGGTCATGATGACGAAGTGAGCTGCAGATAATATAGATCACCTTACTTGCAACAATGCAACTTTGCTGCATTTCTGATGTCTTATTCTGCTGGCTGGAGCCCTGGACATCACTGCCCTGCCATGTTGGAACCACTGCTAGATATATGGCTGACTCAAGAAACACCCAGGTGTGTTTTTCATGTGTGAGGTCATTCCGATCTATCCTGCTTATATCAGTTTTTTCAGTGGTGCAGTTTTCCAAAGATTCCAGCAGGAATCCATTTCCTAGGATTCTTTTAAATACAAATGGAAGGGATGTTACCTTTAATATTGGAATAGAAATATTTTGAGTAAAAATTCAAAACCTTTCCTGAGTTGAGGGCCTCATGATCTTTTAGTGGTATTTCAGAGTCTCCATTCCAAAGAGGATTGGACAGGACAAAACAAACGGTAAATTTGATTTGGTTTTGGTTTTTAAAATGAAATATAGTCAATGTGATGATTTTTTAGTGATATATTTAATTATTTTTCCTCGCGTCCCAAATTAAAAGTTACAGTTTGGTAACAACTTCTGGATTTATCTGAGGGTTGTGCTGGAGCCCCAGATTGTGTGTCTGTTTTAAACAAATAAATTAACAAGGAATTAATCTGGGTCCTGCCATAAATAAGGTCTGTGCTATGCTATTTAATGACTTTGCCTGTTTTGTGTAGTTGCTATACAGTCGTGGCTAAAGCTAAACTTCTGTATTAGTTCATGTAAGTATCAGTGAATTCAGACAAAACATCAGTAAATACAGTTAAACAGGCCATGATTTCTGCACTTTACTTCCCATTTCCAACATGGATCATAATCAGGGATGACCTGGGGCGTGTATTTGGTGGAGCTGTTTAAACAAAGTCAAGTTGTTGGCTGCATGATTGAAACTCCAACCATTTTTTACATGTATAGCACATAAGCACATATCACCATAGCTGCCCTCTTGACTTTTTTGACTCCCCTTGCAGATACCCCTGGCCAGGACAACAGAATACATTTGATTACATGTACTATTTAATTTACAGTTCATATCATTCATCCTCATGCATTTAATAATTTCCCCCTTCAGTATTACAATATGGGGAGGGTTATGTTTGTGGTGGGAAGATTAGTGCAACTTGGAACTCCAGATTCTGCACTTTAGCCATAGCATGTTGTGCAAACCAAATCATTGTGACCGTTGTAGTAGTTGTTATAATAAATCTCTTTCAGATAACATGTATCTGGTGAGGTGACTGCTCTTGGTATCACACTCTCTCTATCAGTTTTCTTTTTCCTATGAACTGTGCAGTTGACTAAAATGATTTCCATTTCATCCAGAGACATACACCTTAGATATTTATTTGCTTCTGATGACCAAGGGTGCCTTTTATTTGCATGGAGACAAAGTTTAAAAGTCATATGTATTCTTTGATCAATAGAAGTGCAAGGTGTACAGTTACTTTCTTTTTTTAAAGCCACATAATGCTTATACCAATATTATTAGCACATAATACACCTTATTTTGGAAGCAGGAGTGTGTGCTTTCATTGTACATAGCTACCAAGTTTGTCTATATGTTATGGAGACAGTCATTTATAGCAGAGCAGTATTTCAATACTCTGAGAGACATCTCATTATTTTCATCAGGGCTTCTCTTTCAGGTAATAGAGTGCAGGACTGAAGTCCTATAATACAAAATTAGGATTTGGGACATATTGATAATCTTGAAGTGCAACTACATGGATGCTGAAATTTGGGTAGGAGTGGAAGATAAAATAGCGTCTCCTTTTAAGCCTACCTAGTACTGCTTGTATCTTGAAGAAAGCTCCAGACTGTACAGTCTTCATGTCAGTGATGTAGATCGTCATGATACTTAATACTCATCTTTCTTCTGACTTATTTAGTTATACACACACACACACACACACACACATACATGTACTGTACATACACATACACACACCCCTAAGATACATTATACTTACAAACCAATTTGATTTTATTTTAAAATTTTAATCTTTTCCAGGAACCTTGGATCTCAGGACTATCTTTTGAAATGGCTCTCCTGTTCTTTGTCTTGGCCTTAACTTTTATCCAGGCTGAATCTGAAAGTGGTAAGTATTTAAACAAGCACCAGAAAAATTAAGTACTTTAAACAAGATGTGGATGTAGTTTGACTCTTTAGCACATACTGTTGGCTTTCAACCCACAGACCCATCTTTACCCTCTCTAAGGTTGTTGTTCAGTCGTTAAGTCATGTCCGACTCTTCATGACCCCATGAACCATATCGCGCCAGGCCTTCCTGTCCTTCACTGCCTCC